TAATGGTGATAATGATGGTGGTGATAATGACGACGACGACGATGATGATGATGATGCTGATGACGATCAGTCAGGCGCAGCTGTCCCGTCCGGGCAAAATATTCATGAGCAACAGGTGACCTATGTCCGTCGGCAAGCGACTGTTCGCCACTCTGATAGGTTGAGGATAGCAACCTGGAATGTCAACAATCTGAACCGTGAGAAGCCTGAAAAAATGGCAAACGCAAAGAAAGAGATGGACAGAATACGCTTGGATGTGATGGGCTTGAGCGAGGTTAGATGGCCAGGCAATGGTATTCATCCGATGAATGACGGTGAATGTTTTATATACTCAGGAGATAAACCAAAAGAAAATGGGGTGGGCGTGATGATGAAGAAGTCGGTAGCAGAATGTCTGTTGAGTTACTACCCTGTGTCAGATAGAGTGTTGATGGTAAAGATTAGAGGTAACCCATTTAATATATGCATTATACAAGTTTATGCCCCTGCACCTAAAAGAGATAAAATACGCGAATACGAAGAAGTTAAAGCATTTTATAAAGATGTTATGAAAGCAAAAAAGCAATGTGAAAAACCTGGTATTACTCTGATAATGGGGGATTTTAATGCAAAAGTTGGAAGAGAAAGAGAAGGTGTAGAGAATATTGTAGGAGCATATGGCTTAGGAGTCAGAAATAAGAGGGGCGAACAATTCGTAGAATGGTGTCAAGACGAAGGACAAGTTATTCTAAATACATGGTTCACTCACCACGCACGACATTTATGGACGTGGAAAAGTCCAGGCGATAGATTTAGGAATCAGATTGATTATATAACCATCAATAAAAGATTCAGACCAGCAGTGCTCCAAGCGAAAACTTATCCAGTAGCCGCCTGTTACAGTGACCATGTTCCTGTGGTAATATGCATTAGAGTAAGGATGAAGAGACTAACGAAGAAGCAAAACAAACCCAAAAGACATCTGGAGCTGCTAAGGGAAGATGAATTCAGGAATGAATATAACATCAAAGTGAGAAATAAATATGAAGAACTGACAAATGAGTTGGAGGAAGCTACAGCAGGTCAACAATGGAAGAGGTTACAAGAAGCTATTGCAGCTGGAAATGAATATATCCCTCAAATAGAGAGAAGAGCCGTAAAACCATGGATGACTGAAGACATTCTCCGTCTTATAGATGAAAGAAGGAATTGCAGGAATAGGAATAATGAGACGTATAGAGCGGTAAACAAAAGAATACATCAGGAATGTAACCGAGCCAAAGAGGTATGGATGGACAATCACTGCAGCGAGATTGAGGAATTGGAGGGAAGAGACCAGAAAATGATGTACGAAAAAGTTTTCGAAGTAACAGACAAAAAGAAATATTATACTAGCGTAGCCATAATGAGAGAGGACGGGACAGTGGCAATGGAATCTGGGGCGGTCATAGAACTGTGGAGTGAGTACATAAGAGAGATTTTCAGTGATGACAGAGCAGAAATGGTGGATCTTGTATATAATGAGGAGGGACCAACAATTTTAAAAGAGGAAATTGTAGCTGCTATGAAGAGAATGAAAGCAGGAAAAGCTGTTGGAGTAGATGGCATAGCGATTGAGATGTTGGAGGCGTTGGGAGATTTTGCAGTTGACAAGATAACAACTTTAGCAAATAGCATATATGAAACCGGTGTTATAGAGGAGCAGATGTATAAATCCATATTTATACCAATAGCAAAGATTCAAGGTACTCTAGAGTGTAACAAACACCGTATGATTAGCATTATGAGTCATGTAACTGAGATAATCTTAAGAGTAGTTATTGCTAGAGTAAGGTATAAGCTAAGCCCAGAAATTTCTAATGAACAATATGGATTTGTTAAGGGAAAGAGTACTGCAAATGCTGTTTTCGTTCTGAGGACGCTGGCGGAGAGAATGTTGGAAGTAGGGAAAGATCTGTACTGTTGTTTCATTAAATATGACAAGGCGTTCGATAAGGTGAGGCATGAAGATTTGATGGAGATGCTGGAGGAGCTGCAGATTGATGGAAGAGATCTGAGGATAATTAAGAACTTGTATTGGAGACAGAAGGCGGCAGTGAGAGTCGGTGAAGAAGAATCGGAATGGCAAAGTATAGAGAGAGGAGTCAGACAGGGTTGCGTTATGTCACCAGATCTGTTCAATTTGTACAGCGAAATTATTTTTAGAATAATTGACGGCATGGATGGAGTGAAAGTAGGAGGAAGAAATGTAAACAATATCAGATATGCGGATGACACGGTGCTGGTGGCAGACTCGCAAGAAAGACTACAAGGATTGGTTGAAAAAGTGGTGGAGGAAAGTATAGAGAAAGGGCTAAGAGTAAACAAGGGAAAAACAGAAGTAATGGTAATATCAAGGCGAGCACAAATCCCTATATGCATTACAATAGAGGGAGACGAGGTAACGCAGGTCAATAAATTTGACTACTTGGAATGTTTAGTAACGAAAAACGGAACGTGTGAAGAGGAGATAAAGCGAAGAATAGCAATAGCAAAGAGTGCTTTCAGTAAGATAAAGAAGATGGTAACAAACTCGAAAATATCAATTAGTATAAGAAAGAGATATGTTAAATGCTATGTGTGGTCTACGTTGCTCTATGGGTGTGAATCTTGGACCGTGAGCGTAGAGATGGAGAAAAAAATTAAAGCTGTGGAAATGTGGATTTGGAGACGAGTGTTGAAGGTGTCCTGGACTCAGTGGAAAACTAATGACAAGATTCTAAAGATGATGGACACATCCAGGGAATTGGTGAGACAGATGAAGCAGAGACAGCTTCGCTTCTTTGGTCATATCATGAGAGAGCAGCAGTTGGAGAGTGTATGTGTGACCGGCATGATCGAAGGTAGAAGACCAAGAGGGAGACCACGGCAAAAGTATATAGACAGTCTGGTGAGGACTGTTGGAGGGGGACATACTGCTGACAGTCTCTCACAGATGACGAACGATAGAACACAGTGGCGATCCGTGGTAGCCGACGTCCAGATAGATGATAAATATAATAAAAAATATGATGATGGTGATAATGTTTATGATTATGATGATGATGATGATGATGATGATGATGATTATGATTATGATGATGATGATGATGATGATGATGATGATGATGATTATAATGATGGCTTTCGTGAAGCTGGCATGTTTTTCTAATAGCGTACACTCGCACATGCTGCACAATTTTTAATATATTTTATACATGTATCGTATATACATTCGACAATTAGTTTGAATGCGTGGCGGACATGGTGTTGTATGAACTGATAAAGAAATCAATGTTACCCGAACAACAAGGCAATAACCCGCGGGCATTACATTCCAATTTTTTCGACGTTTTTTGCTAAGAGCGTATACTCTCACATGCTGCACGAATTTGAATGTATTTGATACATGTATCGTATATGTATTTCCCTTCGACGTTTCCGTGGCAACGCGGCAGGAGAACGAAAGAGATAATAAAATAAAAAAGCGAGGTTCTAACACGGTTTCTGTGTAACGCTCGTCAATACACAAGTCGCTCGTCGCTCGTTCTGCGTTTCTCTCCTGTCTCTACGATCAGTGTTGACATTGACTGTTCTAACGTGTCCATACGCACGTCGGCGTTCATTCTGTGCTTCTCTCTCCAATCCCTGCGATCAGCGGGGCCACGAAGCCGAGTACTACCGACAACACCCGAACGAGCTGTCGGCTATTAGCGCTGCAGATCGCGACCTTGACGTAGAACACAAGGTCAGCGAAGATCGTCGCCTTGACGTGGAGCAGAAGGTCAACGAAAATCATGACCATGACGTGGAGAACGAGGTCAACGAGGATCGCGACCTTGACCTGCAGCGTAAGGTCATTGCCGAGACGGCGAGGAATGACCTTCACGTCGATGACGTCATCGCGACGACGTACGGAGAGGTGGTCAGTGACGCAAGCCGGGTGAGCCTCGCCCCTCCCCCTTTCCTCCTCCTCCTCCTTTCCTCCTCCTCCTCCTCCTCCTCCTCCTTTTCCCCATCCTCCTCCTCCTCCTCCTCTTCCCCCTCCTCCTCCCCTCGAACATCGATCCAGCTCTACGCGTCTTACAGATAATTATATTATCGAGTAATTATGACTAAACTCATTAATAACTTACTGCGCATACAGCGCGGTGACTGCTGCACTGTGGGGGTAGTAGGCACGGCGCTACTCGCTCGCGTATAGTTGCACTCTACTCACCTATAGCACCTACATGCAGACTAGCCTGGTCTGTCCGATGTGTCAAGGAATATCACGTAAATTAACGTGAATACATCGTAACCCTTAAGAAGTCGCAATTCTTGGAAAGCATTTGCATGCGCAATGGTCAAGCGACTTCGGGCGAAAGATGTATAGGGCACGTTGCCGACTTATTTTGCCTGGAGGGGGCAAAACTGTGCGCGCTTTGTATTCTGGACAGTTGACCGCGGACAGTTTCTCGTTGCTGCATTCTGCCATGCTGCCATTTCCCGTTAGTTACGGCCCTACATATATGATTTTGTCGGAATTATGCACCAGTAGTAAGCACACAGGCCGGAGTAGCTCGATTTCAAAAATGTTGCTCCTAATAAGTGACTTCGTTAATTATAAGGCGGCAAATTTTCCTAAACCTTTTAAACCTTCGACAGATTGTAGCGTCAGACATATCTCTTGGCTCAATATGCCTATTATCTACCAAATGGAGCAATATTATGCTGGATTTATATATATTTAAAATTGAGACGACAGACCCATGAGTACATTTCCATAAAAAAATTAAAATATATTGCTTCTCTTATGTAATAAAGAGTCCGGTCTTTTCGAAATTCTAATTTGGGTATATTTTTCGTTACCGTTGGTCGGCGCTAGTGTCGCACATGCTACCATAGTGTTTGATAGATTCAAAACGAAGTATACTCATACATAATTTGTTAAATTTATAAACCCCTGCAGTGAGCATATACCTATGAGTGGGTATATATAAATAATGTTACTCCCAATGACCAGAAAACATTCCAAACCTCTAGAAACGTGATGTCGATTATAGCGTCAGACATGGCTGAGCGCACGCCTACTATCTGCTAACACTAATCATATTCTCGTTAAAAATATGCATTTAAAGTAATTAATTTAAATAATTTAATTAAACATTCTCTTAAAAAATTCACATTTTCTTTGAAATATTTATCTGAGAAAAAAAGAGGACATAGCTACGAGGCAGCGAAGAGTTTTATGTGAAAAAAATGCGAAACGCATTGCCTCTCTTCTGTAATAATTAGAAGCAGTCGAAACTTAACAACATCTTATCTTAACTTATCTTAACTTATCTTAACTTATCTTATCTTGTTATCTCTTATTTTCTCTTATCTTATCTTCTCAACATCTCATCCTCAACCCGTAATTATAATAATTAGAAGCAGTACAATCTTCTCAACATCTTGTCCTCGATCTTCAACCATCACGGTCAATCCCTTACAGGAGCGATTCGCGCAACTGACCACGGCTATCGAGCGAGGTGACCTGAGAGGAGTACAGCAGCTGCTGGACCGCAAGCATCTGCTCGCGATGCATGACGAGACAGGAGCCACCCCGCTGCACGTGGCCGTACTACGCGGTGAGACGGCCATCGTTCGATACATCGTCAGTTATAGCTCGCTGGACAGCCGCGATCAGGTTTGTTATACGTACGCGCGCGTGCTATCTGCGCTCTCTCTCTCTCTCTCTCTCTCTTTTTCTCTTTTCTCCTCTCTCTCTCTCTCTCTCTCTCTCCTCTCTTTCTCTTTCTCTCTCCTCTCTCTCTCTCTCTCTTTTTTTTTTCTCTTTCTCTTTCTCTCTCTCTCTCTCTACTCTCTCTCTCTCTCTTTCTCTCTCTCCACTCTCTCCTATCTCTCTCTCTCTCTCTCGTCTCTCTCTCTCGTCTCTCTATCTCTCCTCTCTCTCTCTCATTATAATCCTCTCTCTCTCTCTCTCTCTCTCGCCTCTCCTCTTTATCGCTCTCTCTCTCTCTCTTGTATCTCCTCTCTCTCTTTCTCTCTCTCTCTCTCTCTCTCTCTCTCGCTCTCTATCTCTCTCTCTCTCTTTATCTCTTTTCTCTCTCTCTCTCTCTCTCTCCTCTCTCTCTCTCTCTCTCTCTCTCTCTCTCGTTATCTACTCTCTCTCTGCTCTCTCTCTCTCTTTCTCTCTCTCTCTCTCTCTTTCTCTCTCTGCTCTCTTTCTCTTTCGCTCTCTTCCCCTCTCTCTACTCCCTGCTGCCTCTCTCTCTCTCTTTCTACTCGCTCTCTCGCTCTCTAATCTCGGCTCTCTCTATTTCTTTCTCTTCTCTCTCTCTCTCTTTATCTCTCTCTCATCGCTCTCTTTCTCTCTCTCTGCTCTCTCTCCCTCTCTCTCTCTCGCACTCTCTCTCTCGCCTCTCTCTCTTCTTTTTCTCTCTTTCTCTGTTTCTCTCTCTCTCTCTCTATCTCTCTCTCTCTCCTCTCTTAATCCTCTTTTTCTCTCTCTCTTTCTTTCTCCTTTCTCTCTCTTCTCTTTCTCTCTCTCTTTTTCTCGCTGCCCCCTCTCTTTTCTCCTCTCTCTCTTTATCTCTCTCTCTCTCTCCTCCTCATTTTTCTCTCTCCCCGCCTCTCTCTCCTCTCTCTCTCTCTCTCTCTCTCTGTAAATCTCTCTCTCTCTCTCCGCTCTCATTTATCTCTTTTTCTCTCTCTCTCTCTTTAATCCTCATCTCTCTCGTTTATTGCTCTCATCTCTCTTATATGCTCCACTCTCATTTCTCTCTCTCATCTCTCTCTTTCTTTCTCTTCCTTCTCTCGCTTCTGCGCGCGCTCTCTCCTCTCTCTCTCTCTCTCTCCCTCTCTCTTATCTCTTATATATATATATATATAATATAAATATTATATATATTATCGATATATATTATCTCATTTATCTTTCGTTTTCCCTTTCTTTATCCCTCTCTCTTTCTGGCTCTCTCTTTCTGAAGCTCTTTCTCTCTCTTTCTCTTTAGCTCTCTTCTCCTATTCTTCTTCTCGCTCTTTCTCTCTCTCTCTCTCTCTTTCTCTCTCTATCTCTTTTTATCTTTCGTTTTCCGTTTCTCTCTATCTCTCGCTCTCTCTTTCTGTCTCTCTCTTTCTGAAGTTGAAACAGGTATCGACGAAAAACTTTATAAGCTTATGAAATGAATAACTTTATCCTTATTTTGGCCCACGCTGGCGTATAGAAGGGACGCACGCCCCTGCACTACGCTGCCACACTGCGAGACGGCGGCCACATCTACAAGATACTCGTCAAGGCTGGGGCCAGTCCGGTCACAAACGATCAGGTGGGTGCCCGTCTACGATATGGACTGCCGCTGCACGTTCTGCGACGTGTCAGGCCGTTGCTAAGCAACGTAGCCACGCGTGCAGGTGTACATAATAGGTGCCATCGGCAGTGATGAATGAAAGAAAGATTACAATTTATTTTTGCTCACGTCTGGTTTGATATGGTATAAGGGGCATGCAGGCGTATAAAGTTCACGTGCACGCACTTTGTTTCTCGGCGTATCGTGCTTGCAACGTGCGGCCACGGGCGGGCCGCACACAACCATAGATCCCATATTTAAAAAATGCGCTATTTCGAAGTTCCCACATAAACTACTAAAATCGTAATTTTGACTTCACCACGTCGTCACCGGTTGACTTCACTTACCAGATCGCAAACCATTTATCTAGTATTTTTCAGTTCTGAGGTAATAAAGTATAACTCGGCGCCCCCAAAAATAATCATTAGCCCCAATACACTGCATGCAAAGCTCCGCGCATGCGTAGTAGTGGTATGCTCGGTATGCGCATATATTGCGTATAAGCGTATATTGATTATAATTATTGGATAGTGATCGATCACTCATTGTCAGAGCCGCTCACGTACATTCAAACCCGACGATCGCTGCAGTTCATCGATATATATAGTAGATTTATTGATTTGTAGTATCGATTTATTATAATCGAATAATTGATTTATTATTTCGATTTATAGAGCAAACAACTCAGTTGTAGGCGCGTGAACAATCGATACTCTATTCTATTAGGATGGACTCACACCGAATGACTACCTAGAAGAGAAAGGCAGTAAACAAGAAATCGAGAGGAAAATGAAAGACGAAGGCAGTGGGCACACAGAAGGGCGCCACTTGGCGGAAGAGGACGCGCCCAGAAGAAACACAGCCGTACGTATATAAGTCACTCGTATTCGCGTTTTACGATTTTTACGGTTTTGTTCGCAATTATGGACGACGACTGATTAACAACAGCCAAAAGCAGCTGCTCTCGGCTCCACAGGAAAAATTATGAAATTAAAGCTGTGCGTACCGCTCGACTATACTACAGAAAAATATAGCGGTTTGAGTGTCGGCTACTGTCGCCTGACTATACGGAAATAATTAAAGCCACAGTATGCGCACACTACACGCTAATTTCTCCAGTAATAGACTAGTAGATACTTCGTGTCATGCATATCCACACTACTTTACGTAATTACTACCTTACGTAATTATTATGACAAAATAAACTCTAGTTGCTCCCATTTCACTGCGTGTTTACTTAAAACCCACAAGAAAAAGGTGCGAAATCTGGTAATCTGGCGCCAACGCCGAATTGTTTGTCAAGCAATTTCGCCCCGAATCAATTAGGTGACGTCACATGTTGCTACACCCGCCGTACGGTTGGTTGGCAGCGCAACGCTAAAGTGTCAACAACATCGGAGAATTTGAACAACATTGGAAGTATTTTCAAAGACCTTTTATAAAACAACTCGCAGTGAAATGGGAGGAACTAGAGTTTATTTTGTCATAAGGTAGTATGATTATGCATGACACGAAATAATTGCTAGTCTAGTACTGGCGAAATTAGCGTGTAGATGCGCATATTGTGGCTTTAAGTAAACGTCAACGTCAGTGCTTAGTCAACATTGTAGAACGGAACCACGAAAGCTAAGTAAACAGCGACCCGGCGAGTATATTTTATCGGGGCGTCAAGTGCAGGTGTATACTAATTATAACTAGAGTAAAGGTTAATCACGAATGTAACATTCCCCTTCGTATGCGATGGGTATCCATGCATCTTCGCGAAGTACTCATGTAAACACATGTACTCGCATTCCCGTATTCACTCAAACACACACACGCGCGCGCTTTCACACACACGCGCTCACACACCCACGCGCACACACACAGCCACACACACGCGCGCGCTCTTACACACACGCGCGTACACACACACAGCTACACACGCGCGCGCTCTCACACACACGCGCGCGCTCTCACACACACGCGCTCACACACCCACGGGCACACACACAGCTACACACGCGCGCGCACACACACACACACGCGCGCACACACACACAGCCACTCACACGCGCACACACACCCAGTCACACACGCGCGCGCGCACACAGAGTCACACACACGCGCGCACACACACACACGCACGCACTCTCTCTCTCGCTTTCTCTCGCTCTCTCTCTCTCTCTCTCTCGCGCGCTCTCTCTCTCTCTCTCGCTCTCTCTCTTTTTTTTCTTTCGCTCTCTCTTCTCGTCTCGGCTCTCCATCCACTACAACACCTCTCTTTCCACACACACCACCACAAAATCACCGCGCACACACCACACACAACCACGCAACGCAACACTCAATCATCCATATTATATACACCACACAATCAGCCACACCCGCCGCGCGGCGCGCGACCACGCAGCGCACACGCACGACACACATCACGCATACGCACTCTCACTCTATCTCTCTCTCGCTCTCTCGCTCTTTCTCTCTCTCCGTGCTTTTTCTCTCTCTTCCGCAGCACCTACGCACACACGCAAAACACACACACACACACACACACACACACACACACACTAACCCACACAGTGCCAGTCACACACACGACACACTCAGACACACACAACACACCGACATGCACCACAACACACACACACACACATCACCCACACACAGACTAACTCACGCACAGACACACCACAACAAACACACTACACACACCCACCACAACACCGCACACACGACAGATTACACACACACACACACAACACCAACGCACACACACCACAACACACCAACGCCACGCCACACACACAACCACCCACATCCAAACCAACACAGGCACAAACACACACACCCAACCACCCTCCACTCCAACAAATTACACATCGCCTAGAATCTATCGACGACGGGCGACGGCTCCACGCGATTACTCGCCGACGTCTCCGCGCCGTCGGCGCCGTTAGCGTCCGCCGCCGTCGCCGACGTCAGCCCGGGCAGCAGCTGCACGAACGCCTGGCGATAGTCGCGCATCCTGGCGGCGATGATGAGCGGATACACGGCGGGTCCGGTGTAGAAAAGTAGATACCCGACTCGTCGCAGCGTGTTCAGCGGCGGCTCCAGCTCCGCGTACAACACGGTCACCGCTATCACGTTCAGCGGAGCGCACAGCAACACGTACGCGATCACGACGACGAAATACGTCGTCGCCGAGTTGACCTTCCGCCGGAAGTCGGTCCGCGCGACGACGGAATCACCGGAAGTGCGTCGGCGCGCGTGCGCGCGCGCCGCTCGGAAGATCGTCGCGTACATGAATAGCATCAGAGAACCGTAGACGACGAAAAGCGCCGCCAGGGTCAGTACGAGCGCTTCGCCGACGACGAACTCGAAGAGGCAGCACGAACCGACCTCCCAGCGTTCGCCGACGTATGCGAGCGAGCCGACGACGACCGACAGCAGCCAGGCGACGCCGATGGCCACCTTCGCTCTGGCGGCGGTGACAACGTGCCTGTAGCGAAGTGGATGCACGATCGAGACGTATCGGTCGGCCGTGACTAGCAGTAGCATGTTGACGGAAGCGGCGCCCGTAACGGCGATGTCGGCGAGCAGGAAGAGACAGAGATTCTCGGGCGGGTCGGGCAGAAACGCCGTCGTGACGAGCGCGACGACGAACGACGTCGCCGTGGCGACGCTGGCGACGCTCAGGCCGGCGACGAACCAGTTGGTGAGATTGCGACGCAGTTTGGCGACGCGAGCGACGGCGACGACGACGAGCGGGTTGAGCGCGACGTTGGCGATGATGACGATGGCGTAGGCCGTCGCCGAGACGGCGCCCCACGGGTCGGTGTCATCGTCATCGTCGTCGTCGCTGCTGCTGCAGGTGTTGCGAGGTGCGCTGAACGGGTCGGCGAAAAGTCTCACTCTCATGGTGGTGTGTGTGTGTGTGTGTGTGTGCGTGTGTGTGTGTGTGTGTGTGTGTGTGTGTGTGTGTGTGTGTGTGTGTGTGTGTGCGTGCGTGTGTACGTGCGTTCGCGTGTGTGAACACCACGCGTCAGATGCAGCGTGTCCTCTCTATCGTCGTCTGCTCAGAAATCCTCTCTCTTTCTCACCACGATCGTCGCCGCCGACGTGCCTCTGACGTCACGTACTCACCGACAGTCGGCTCAGCGCGACGAGCGACGCATGCGCAGTAGTTTCTCGCGTGAATCGGCGCATCATAGCGCACCATGTCCGCGCTCTCTGTAAACGCCGGAGAAGATGAAGAGGAAATACGAACACCAGCCGTTCATGTCAGATGTTCTCATGGACGCACGCTGGGTGTTCCCAACGCTATGTGCTTCTGCGGGTATGTTCCGTAAATGAGTGAACAGCACGGGTGGTTCAGCAGAGAACAACGCGAGTCGTTCAGCAGAAAATAACATGGGTGGTTCAGCGGACCGGAGAACAGCAGGGGGTTTTCAGCAGAGAACAGCACGGGTGATACACCGACGAACAACACGACCGTGGAACGAACGCGGCAGCAGCGGCGGCAGCAGCGTCGGGAGGGGCGCATCCTCCCCGATAGCATCTTCATCTCTGAATCGCGAAGCCATGTCACTCTCTCGCGCTCCTCTGCTGCTGCGTGTGCGAACACCTATATTGCGCACCTGGTGGAGAGGCAGCGAATCTCACCTGTCGCGGCCAACCGCTGCCGCGCATCGAATGACGTCACGCCGACGCGGTGACGGACGGCGGAACAGTGTATACATCTCATCACGAGCTTATAATACCATATTATTACCTATACGCCAGGGGCTTGGCGGAGGTTATGTTTTCACCGGCGCGTCTTTGAGTGTTGGTTTGTGTGTTTGTGTGTTTGTGTGTTTGTTACCATGCACGTTTCAGTTCACTTCCGCTAGGTGCGCTGGCTGTAGACTTACAAACACGCAACCACAGGCTAAGGGGCAACCACAGTCCTCGCCCACCTGCACGCTCGCACTAA